GGGGGAGGAGAGGAAAGGGTGCACTTCTCATGTTTGATTGGCTTGGCTTTAGACCCTGCCACAAAGACAAACTCCTCCCTCAAAGTTAAATTCCCAAAGCTATGTGGTGAGATGCTGGGGTAGGTTAATTCACTCACCCCTCTCACCTCTGGACACGCAGTCACATCCATCTTAAGTCACCAATAAAATGAGATTGATGGGCTCAATGTACTTCCTCGGGAACACTCCACCATAATGGAAAAGCAACGCTCTTTTCAGCCCAATCGCACACTCGGTTGAAAAATTACCAGTATTGAACTAGTGAGGGGTGGGATAAGTTGTAACCAAGCGACTCTGCCAGAGCATTATGAGAAGGAATGTCACACAACAGCCGCCAACATTCATCCGACTTCTTAGCAACAACATCAATCCTTCAATTTATTGTATCACAAATTCCTCACTAGAAACAAAATGATCCCAGCCACAGAGGCCTGCTCCCACTCTTACTGTAGGCTGTTTGGCTGGGGACTTCAAGAAGCTAAAGATCAGAACTTAAACTGACAGCTGTTCCCCGCACTGAATTAGTGATTTGTGTTACGCGGCACTCCCAACTGTTCTATGCACTTTGTAGGAATGTAAAAAGACTGGCCCCTGTCCTTAAGAGTACGTCTACACTGCACGGCTATTTCTGGATATCCTGAAATAACTACCCCACGTTTACACAAGCCGCCCGTTATTTCGAAATATTTTTCGAAATGACAGGCATGCTATTTTGTCATCCCGGTAAACCTCGTTGCATGAGCGATAAGGGATGGCTCAAAATAGCATGTTATTTGGAAATTTGGTGCTGTGTAGATGCACCAAATCTCAAAATAAGCGATTTCAAAATAGATTTGAGATAAGATACGCAATTTGCGTAGCACGAATTCTGTAACTTATTTCAAGATTAGGGTGCTGTGTGGATGCACCCTAAATGATCTCACTCCAACTAAACAATGCAGGATTGAGCAGATTGACAGTGCAAAAAAGAAAAATATTTGACGCCTGACCTATCTGCACTTTGCAATGCATCTTCATCACTGACATGAGAAGGGTGAAGAAGGCACCATGGAACGAAAGGCAGAGCCAAACATCTCTGGATTACATGCGTAGTTAGCAGTAGGCAGGCTACATTATATCAGTGCTAATTCATACTGGAAATACCCACACAACAGGCGAGAAATATTATATACATCTGACAATCCTCTTTAAAGGGACAATAAACGAGAGGGAGAAAGGATCAAAAAACAACAACAACAGCAACAACAAACCTTCTTTCCTGCTTTCAATCCAAGAAAGATCCAGGAATAGTGTTAAACTCACCCTGCACCAGACTAAGCATGTCATTGTTAATTACAAAGCTATTTAACTTTTGCAAGAAATAAAGGCTGCTATTAATGAAAGAAGACCCAATTAGCCTTTAATCTACACACTGTTTTTTAATCAAACTTTCTTTTGATCATCATACACACTGCGGGATATAGTCTCCCCTTGCCACACGCTATCGACTCCCACTAATGCTAATGAAATAGATTTTAAAGACTGAGTGAAGCAATGCGGCGGAGCTATTCCTCTGCTGGGGCTGGAGTTCCTTTTCCTCAGGGGGACCCCAGGTTCTGGGCAGCTTGGAGGCCCAGTCTCCAAACTGTTCCCTTCCTCTCATTAAGGCAGCATGGGAAGGCAGTTTCATGAGGTAAATCTCTCAATGACCCGATCTTTTCCTGGGGGTTGTGCCAGGAGAGGCAGCAGGACACTGTATAATCTCTAGGAAAGTCATGGCCCAGTGCACAGGGTCTCATAAATCTTAAGGACAGCCCCATAGTAGCAATCACCACTTAAAAACAAACAAACAAAAACAATACAAAGAGGCAGAATGGCTAAAAAAAACTAAGACCACGTCTATATTTACCTGTGGATCGATGCTCCAGAGACTGAGCTTGTGGCATTCGATTTAGTGGGTCAATTAAGGACCCACTAAATTGAAAGCTCAGGGCACCCCCCCCCAGTTGAGTCCGTACTTCTACTCCTCACAAGGAGTAAGGGAAGTCCACGGGAGCATTTCTCCCGCTGTGAGGGCAGCACCAAAGTTCAGCTTAAGTTACATTGATTCCAGCAATGCAATTAACACAGCTGGAGTTGCGTATCTTGATTCAGACTTATCCCCTAGGGTAGACCTGACCTAAGTAGTCTTCAGCGCTGAAAAGGGTGAGCATAAGAAAATAAGAGCATAAGAATGGCCATACGGGGTCAGACCAAGGTCCATCTAGCTCAGTATCCTGTATTCCAACAGTGGCCAATGCCAGCTGCCCCATAGGTAGTGAAAAGAACAGGTCATCATCAAGTGATCCCTCTCCTGTCAGCCATTTCCAGCCTCTGACAGATGCTAGAGACACTATTCCTACATATCCTGGCTAATAAGTATTGATGGACCTAACCTCCATGAATTTATCTAGGTCTTTATTGAACACTGTTAAAGTCCTGGTCTTCACAATATCCTTTGGTAAGGAGTTCCACAGATTGACTGTACTCTGCGTGAAGAAAAACTTGCACCTTGAGGAAACCAATGTACATAAAGGGGCGTGAGCTATCTCTTGGTATAACATAGTGAAGCTCAGGCTCTTTAGTTTTAATGTGAGGTCAACATTAATGTGAGTTAAACTCACTGAGGTCAATCCCTGGAAGGGTGATAGAGCTGAATACCACCTGGTAAAAATGATATGCCTGGTCTTTATTGTATTTTTACCTCAGGATAGCTCACATACATTCATGTGCATTAGTTATGCTGAGATTTTTTTTAATGTAGCATTTTAGTAGTGAAAACAAAGCCACACTCTGGTCCACGTAAGTCATTCTCAGGGCCATCTTTAAGAATTATGGGGCCCTATGCAGTACTATTAAACTGGTGCCTCTATGCCCAATGGCAGCTGGGTTGGGGGGGAATGATTTTTTTAGAGCTGTGATTTTAATCTTCGGCAACACACTAATGAAATATTTTTGAAACAAATTTTAAACAAAGGTTCTATCAACCAGCACCGTAAATTCAGAAACGGACCATATATATCAGGGTTGGGCAAATCCTCTGAAATGGTTTCATCACCACTTGAATGGCTCTTTCACAGGATCCGTCTTCTGCTAAGAGGTCTGGCAGGCTGAGTCACTTGTAAGGGAACTGGATACTGTCTGGAAAAGGCAGAGCTACAGAAGAGGGACAGGCAGAGGCAGGTGGGTGGACGTTAAGACCCAGCGGTGCCCCAAATTTTCAGGTGCCCCACACAGCTGCATATTCTGCATATGGGTGAGGATGGCTGTAGTCACTCTCCTAGAACAAGAGGGAAAATCCCTTTGCTGGATTCTGGGATGACTACAGTTAAGGATCAGTGAGGAGCCTGATCTTTAGAGTGGAAGTAGCTCTTGAAACTGAATATCAACAAAGCCAGTGTGGGCTTGGCACATTAGAACGAGAATGAACCAGGTAGGAAAATGTTACACTGGAAGAATACACATATTTTTTGGTTGGAGACTCAGAATATTACTCCTTTTTCAAGAAACATGGCAACATCTGGCACTTCAAAATAATGCAAACTATCTGGGATTTAGGCATGTGCTTAAAGTTAAACGTGGGCTGAAATACTGCCTTGAATAGGGGCGGCCCATGGCTACAGGCTGACTCGGCCATCGCCTCGGGCGCTAGGCGGTCGCTAGAGTGCCGCTGACCCGAGCACCCCGTGATTATGTCATGGCCATTGACGGCTGTGCAGGCGGGGGCGCCAATCGCGCCTTCTGCCTGAGGTGCCAGCTGCCGCAGCCCGCCTCAGGCTGTTCCTGGTCTTGAATCAGAATGGATTTCCTGAATCAGGGCCTAAGACTGTAAACATCTGACCTTCAGAGATGTGGAGCACCCATAATTCTAACTGAAGCTAGGAGAATGGTGGATGTTCGGTAGCTTTGAAAGCAGCCCTTAATTTTATTGATTACTATTTGTGATGGATAGGAGGAATGCTGGCCAGCACTTGGTGTCTAAAGGGTTAAATTCAGGTAGCTAAGGATGTTGGCAGCCAGGGACCCAGAACCACCCATGGGATATGGTACTGAAATCTGAATTATAAATCGAAACCTAGCTGCTCTTCCTTTGTGAGAGTCCTAAGTTAAGGGCTGCTGGGTGCAATATGGAATAATCAGGACAACCAGGCCTCCAAGGAATTCACGGCATAGAAGCAGACTGGACGAGGAAAGGATTGTTAATAAATAAGGGGGAAATGTGTATTTAGTCACCATCAGGGTATTTTTCTGTGTTTTGGTTCTTTGGTTAAACTTCTCTGTTTGAATTCCATGTGCTTTCCCTTCTCCACTCACCATGTATAGCTACAGCCCAAAGACAGCTGTTCTTTTCTTAGTTGCTCTGTAACACCTAGCAACCAGGTATCCTTTATCAAGTATAGCTTTTTGCTTTTGTTAAAAATCCCCTTTTTAAGGCGATGATTTGATTCTTGCGTCCTGGAAGGCAACAGGAGTGGGGGTGGTGGGGTGGAGGGGTGTGCGCGTGCGCACCTAGCCTGAGAGAACAGCTATCAGAGAGACAGTTTTTCTTCTGTGCTTTTTGTTTAGTTTTTCAAGATCTCTTGTGGCAAAAGAGCTTGGGATACCCTGGGGAGGAAATTCAAATGTTTCTTCCTGGTTTTTCAGGGTTTAAATCACTTGATAGTGGCAGCTTATCTTCCAGAGTCAGTGCATCCGTGACTCTGGTGCGGTTTTTGGGGGAGGGGGGTATTTTGTTTGTTGTCATTGTTGTTGGAGCTTTTTTGTAAGCAGAGCCTATGGAGGCAAGGTATTTAAGGTCGTTTACAGGACTCCGCCTTCTGCACTCGCAGTGCCCAAGTGGGGAACAGACCTGACACTACTGTATTAGCATCTTTGATTTTTTCACACCTTCTGGGTGAAAATAATTTTTAATAGCAATGTATGAATCAAAACTGTATACGTACGTATGCAGAAGTCTCCACTTTCATAATATCCAGGGCAGCACTGAGATCTTCGCCGATACATTGTTCTTAGTCCTCTTCGATAGGCTGTTTTATAACTTATTCTAAATTGCAAGACAGAAAGCCATTTGACAGTATTGGAAATCAATTCTTACTGTTAGAATTATATTTGTGTTAAATTATAGCAAGGAGAGCATTCAATAATTACTTTAAAATGCATGAAGGCTTTTGATATTAAAAAAACACGATAAAAAAATCAATATGTATTTTGAAACTTGCAATATAACATGTATTATAAACACATTATTCGTGACTATCAGCCTACATGGCCCTTCTTGGTGTTGCTATCTGAGAACTGAAGAGAGAGCCAGCAGTGTCTTCAGGAATAGCCATTCTTCTCTGTGTTTCAGCAAGGTCAGCTAGCAGCAATGGGATCAACAGAATCTTCTATGGAGGCTACATTCTCAGCATGCTATGCACGGAACTACTGCAAGGCAAGCTGTTTCCCTAAGCTCTTGTTAAAGGAAATGGGGAAATTAACCCCCAGAGTGAATTGTCTCCACTAAGTAATTATTTCCAGACTTCGGTCCCTCCCATGATGGCACAACACTGCAATCATGAGAGCACCGTAAGGCAGCTTTCCCTTTCTGTAACTTCTTGTGCAAAAAAGCCACACTCCTGAGTTTTTTCTGTTCTGCTAGACAAGTCAACCCCACCTACTCTGCTATGCTCCAACCCCAACAACAGTCTTGGCATGACCAGTTAAACATCGGTGCCCAGTGCTGGGCACCAGACCGCAGAAATGAAAAGGGAGTTCCAAACTGGCAAGGTGTTGAGTGCCCTAAGTTGTCATGAGTCAATGGGAATTGAGACCAATTAGTAGCTGCTGTCAGGAAGAGACCCCAAGAAGATCAACTGTGCTGGGTATTTATTTGAATAGCTTTCATTGAATAGCTGAGGCCAGTAGCTGACTTCCCACCATCAAGGGGAATTTGATCAGATGGCAACAACTTTCATGCTCTGCTAGAGATGGAGACAGGCCCCAAACTCCAGAGTTATGGGAAGTTCAGATTCAGATTTGGATTCAAACTTTGTAGCTTGGTACCAATTTCTGGTCATCTTCAACCTGACCCACATTCAAACTAACAGCCTAAAAGGGAAAGAAAGACTCTGATACATTGCAAGCCATTTTCGTTACTGGATCAAAGTTCAGGATAGAGTCACTGTCCCTCTGGCTTCTTAGATTGCCTTATCTCTGGATTTCTCAGTGCACAGGCATCTGAAATATTATCAATCCTGAGGATTTTGTTATGGAGAGGCCTGTATTTCCTTCAGAATCAGGAAGATAACACAAAGGTGCAGGTAAAGAGAAAGCATGCAGGGGGATGAAAAGCAAAAGATGATTAAAATATCTTGGCAACAGCACTTACCGATGTCTAGTGCACTTGAACCAGTTCAGTATATCAGTACATCTTGTATAATAGATCTGATCAAAAGGATGAGCATAAGATTCCTGTACTGTCACGGCATAGCTGGAAACAGACAATAAGAGAGAGAAGAAGGCAGTTCTTTAGAGCGTGAAAAAGCTCAGCTTCCTTGACATGTTCCCACACCTAATTCCAGACTGAAAAAATATCGAAATCAACAGCCTCGAGAAGTACAGGCCTGATCTAAAGTCCCAAGAAATTTTCCCCCTCTGGACCTACATTCACTTAGGAGCAGAAACCCTCCTAGAGCTTCTGCTCCTAGCTCACACCATTGTCTGCCAGGCACAACAGAGAAATTAATCAAGTTTTTCAGACTGATTTAAAAATCCTTTTTTTCGGAGTCAAGAAGATCAGTTCCCCCAAAATGCATTAAGTGTTTTAAAAGGTGGGGAGCACAACTAGCAAAACTCTCACATTTTGTTTTAGAAAGAGTACTATCAAGAACAACGGTTTGGCTTAAAAGAGCTAAAAAATGCTTCGTGTCTTTAAATGACATCTGAGGTCTTCCAACTAGGACTGTTTGTAGACCAAAATGCTAAAGCGAGCACATGCTCATTTAATGCTGCTGAGTTTTACCACCATGGTGGGATTCTTCCATTTCTTTTTATGATGAAGGAGCATCATTATTTCAACAAATATTGGGAGCACCAATCAAACCAGGGATAATTCATAAAAGGTCTCAAGGGTGTTTATTTTTAAACTACGCAAATTTAATCCTATGTAATTTGTAGCAGAAATAACCTGGGAACTAATTGCAGATCATAAAATTATGAGTTAAGTGCTGTCTGGGCATGGTAAGGTTTTGAGATTTGGACGGAATGTGATATTATCTCTTAAAGACCTGAACAGATTGCAATGTGCAGAAATTGGGTAAGCGGATTAAAAACTGGAAAAAGCGAAGACACTGGTAAGATGTCAGCAATCATCTTTCCCCCTCCCCACCGCTTTACGGGTACTGTCTTATTATTATTTGTATTTATTTAGATGAGGCTGGTATTTTCAAGAGTTTAAGAGACTTAGATGTAGGGATGTGAACGGGTAACCAGTTAACAGATTATCCAGCAAACATCACCCTTACTGGGTGATGCTTACCGGGTACCAGTTAACCGGTGCCCAGAAGCAGCCCCCCGCCTGTGTCTGCCACAGGCAGAGGGCTGCCCCAGTACGGTTAACCTAACCTTTAAGTGGTTAACTGATTAATCAGGATTTTACATCCCTACTTAGAAGCATAAATCCTGTTGATGTGGAAGTGACATGCCTAGCAATTTTCTGCAGCACCCTAAAACAACCTTCCTGAGTTAAGTTTAAGTATTTTTGGAATCCAGTATGCTCACTGCAAAGGTTGTGTATTATTGTGGGCTGGGATTGCACGTAACTTCTCTAGCAGCAGAGACGAGATGTGAACCAGGGGAAGTGTTTTGAACTTCAAAGAACTAGACTGAACAAAGGGGCCAGACGAGAATGGACTTTTGGGACAAATGGTGCCCAGGGAATCTCTAAGGTGTGGTGGACACAAATTCCCCTCCAGTGATGCCAACACCCTCCCTTCTGAAGCTATACCCTAACAAAAAGACCACTGTCTGCTGACTACTTGTATTCAGAAGGTTAAAGGCCATGTTGTATACAGAAAAGATTAACCAATTCATGGGTGTGCCTAGTCTGAGCTACGGCTGTTACAAACTTGTAGCCACAGAAAGACTCCTTGATGGGGTGTGCAGGTCTGACAGAGCCCTTGTTGGAGTTGATCTCTGGTAAGCTCATCAGCAGGCAGTTACGTTCTTTTATTGTTTTCAGTATGTTTTCTCTGCAAGGCTTTCATCTTAAGAATAAGTGTATTTGCCAGTCCTGGAGGAACTCTGTGTCTCTGCGCATGCGCAGAATTCACGTCCCCTGCAGGTTTCTTTGCGTCCCCACAGAAGGAAAGGGAAGCTGCGAGAGCAGTCACATGCCGCTCCCTAGCAACACAGATACATCATTTCAGGCACCCAGAGCAGCCAGCAGAGGAGTAAATCACCACCAGGCCGGGGACACCGCAGCCTGAGCTGGGATCAGAGGCTACTTCCAGCTGGGAGGAAGACAGGAGAAGACGGGACTTCCTTTTGCCTGGCAAGCAGTGGCTGGGATTGTGTTGGACCACCCACAGCTGCAGGAAGCACATATCTTCCCCTGTTTCCTGTTCCCATCACTCCTTAGCTGTAGGGGGAAGGGTCTCTGTACAAGGTGCTGCATCACCCTCCATTCACCCAACCAGACCTCCCATACCCAGAAATCCCTGGCTCACCTCACCTGGTACATTCAGAAGCCCCCTAGCTCTCCATACCCAAACCCCACCCACTGAACCTCAGCCACTGCATCTGAAACCCTGGTGCACCCAGACCCCTGCCTCTGTATCCCCACCCCCCTACCCAAACCTTCGGGCTGCAGGTTGACCATCACTGGCCTACATCCTGATTCTAGATCTAAAGCCCTGATCCCGCACGGATCTTCCCTGCACCCACTGTCTTCGCTCACTGCAGGACCAGGAACCAAATCCAGCAAGCTCTTAAATAAATCAGCGGTCTTAACCATGTAAGCAATCCCACTGTGGTCAATGGGACTGCTGATGTCGTTAAAGGCTTCAGAACTGCACTCTTAAATAACAGACAATGTCAAAATACTAGCCTGGAGAGTTGACTCCTGTTGCAGTCAGTAGATTGGGCTGTTAATACACTGATCTACTTGTCATATTTCCCTTCTAGCTAGCTAGCCTGGGCAAGACAATCATTTTTGTTCTCCATAAAACAACTTGCTGGAGGAGGGAGGTTATTGGTGATGGGTTTTGGTCTGGTATTTTTTTTTAAACATTGCTCATTATTAATGTAAAACAATAACATTCAGGAATCTTTATTATTATTTTATGATCTTGTTTGTTAGCCAGCCTTACACCAACTTAATCTTTTTTGGTTGATTTATTAACATTTAAGTAACAATGTCGTCTTGGTCAGTACAACCGATCAATTTTGCTATTTAATTTTTGTTTCTCCTTCACTGGGTCTCTAGGATGCTGACTTTCTTCACACAAAATCAATATTTTATTCCTGTGCTCCTAATGCATCTCTCCCCCCCTTCACCATGACTGCAAAATGCCATTTCTGCACCTGAACATACTTCTCTTTCCATCTGCATTTGTCCTGCATGCCAGACCTCCAAAAGCAAATCATAATGAATTTCATACATGTCACTGTGCTACGTAGGCATGTGCTCTCATGTAGTTCTGTGGCACCATAGAGTAACAAAAATATACAGAGCATCGGGAGATTTCATGGGCAAAACCCACTTCCTCAGATGAGCAGGACAGCGATAACAGAAACCCAGAATTAATAACAGAAAAAGGTGGTGGGGGAATGGTACCTCTCAACTGGTACCCATGGAGGGTAGGGTTATAATTCAAAAAGATCTGGACAAACTGGAGAAATGGTCTGAGGTATAAATAGGATGAAGTTTAATAAGGACCAAATGCAAAGTGCTCCACTTAGGAAGGGACAATCAGTTTCACACATACAGAATGGGAAGCGACTATCTAGGAAGGAGTACTGCAGAAAGAGATCTAGGGGTCATAGTGGACCACAAGCTAAATATGAGTCAACAGTGTGACGCTGTTGCAAATAAAGCAAACATTGATCCTGGGATGCATTAACAGGAGTGTTGTGAGCAAGACAAGAAAAGTCATTCTTCCACTCTTCTCTTGTGCTGATTAGGCCTCAATCAGAATACTGTGTCCAGTTCTGGGCACCACATTTCAAGAAAGGTATGGAGAAATTGGAGAAGGTCCAGAGAAGAGCAACGAGAATGATTAAAGGTCTAGAGAACATGACCTATGAAGGAAGACTGAAGGAATTGGGCTTGTTTAGTTTGGAAAGGAGAAGACTGAGAGGGGTCATGAGAGCAGTTTTCAGGTATTTAAATGGGTGTCACAAGGAGGAGGGAGAAAAATTGTTCTTCTTGACCTCTGAGGATAGGACAAGAAGCAATGGGCTTAAAGTGCAGCAAGGGAGGTTAAGTTTGGACATTAGGAAAAACTTCCAAACTGTCAGGGTGGTTAAACACTGGAATACGTTTTCTAGGGAGGCTATGATAGACCTCTATCAGGGATGGTCTTGATCATGGGTTCCCAAACTGGGGGGCGTGCCCCTCTGGGGGGGGGGCCTGAAGAAACTCCAGGGGGGGGCATGAGGCGATCCAGCCACACATACCTCCCATCAATCCCACCAAGTTTTGCTGCTATTTTTTGGGGAGGGAGGGGGTAAGGGATTCTCAAAAATCAAAAAGGGGAGCGTGATGCCAAAAAGTTTGGGAACCATTGGTCTAGATGGTTCTGGGTCCTGCCATGCGGGCAGGGGACTGGACTCGATGACCTTGCAAGGTCCCTTCCAGTTCTAGTGTTGTATCATTCTATGATTCTAATTGTAAGACCGGTGCTAATGCGGCTAATTTAGTAGGCTGGAAGTGTTCCGTACTTGGCTTTTGATATAAAAAAAAATGAGGTTCTAAATTCAGGGAAGGCTGGCTTCATAATGTGACATCCATTAAATGTCTTTGTTCAAGCCCAGGGAAACAGGGTCAAATTTGCAGATGAAGGTCAATTCTGCCCTTTCGCTCTGTAAGTGGCTGGTGAAATTCCCCTGTAGAAGAATGGCTACTTGTAAATCCATGACTGAGTGCCCAGGTCCTGGCTAAAATGTTCCCCTACACGTTAATGTGTGTTACCTTTTCTGATGTCTAACTCGTGTCCATTTATCCTTTGTTGTACAGACTGTCCAGTGTGGCCAGTATACATGGCAGAGGGGCATTGCTGGCACTTGATGGCATAGATCACATTACAGCAGCGTTTCCCAAACTATGGGCTGCGGCCCGATACCAGGCCACAAGAAAATAATACTGGGCCTAAGCGTGGCTGCTCATGCAGCGCTGGGTTCCCCAAGCCCTCAGCTGGGCTGGGCAGATGCAGCCGTATGTTTCAGGCTCCCGGCAGAGGCATAGTGAGGGTTACCAGATGAGCTCTTATTGCTGGCTGTGGAGTGGGGAGGAGGAGTTGGATATGGGAAGCAGGGTCGGGGCAGTGGAGCTGCCAGGGGAAGATAGGGAGGGGAATCGGCCAGCGGGAGCGGAGCTGGC